GGCCATGCTCGAGGGCCTGAGCTGTAGGTATCGATATAGCGTCCACCAGCGTCAGAGAGAGGAGAATAGGGCGTGCGACCTTTCTATATCCTCTGCCAGCTGTCTGCTACCTCTCCTCTCGCGCCATTCTCTACTCTCCCGGAGGTGATAGATGCTGATACACGCTGGCAGGCGAATGCTGCTAGACGCTGAAGACGCTGAGCAGATATCCATTTTTCTAACCGCAGACGCTGCCGGACGCATGAGACGCCAGTGGACGCTGGCAGGCGCTGGTGGACGCTGCCGTCAGTACAAACGCAGCCTGATTACTATGTTGGAGACACTATATGACGCTTCACTCTATTTCAGGTTTCTCCCTAGCTGTATTTTTACCGTACCTCTGTAAGATGGCTCTATTTATCCCGCTGAAGCATATTGCTTTCCCTGCCATCATCTTTGCTTACATTCAGGTATACCTTGTACCCAACTTCATAATACGTTCTGGTAGTCATTACTTTTCAGATAGCAGCTTTTTTCGCGTTTCCAATATTCTCGCTTCTGGCATGGAGTCGACTTGGATGGCATTCCGTGCATTACGGAGGTTGTCTGGCTACAGCAGTAATGTTTGGTATTTTCCTTCTCATCAACTACGACGAGGTATTCAAAGAGAAAGCTGCAAGGGAAAGCACCTTCAACGTAAGTGTCAGGGGGGGAAGGAGTTCCCACTCCCAGAAGGAGTTCAGCGTGGGGAGCTGAATTTCTGCGCAGTTCGTGGATATTGCTTGTTCAGGCACTCTTCACGTACGAGAGGTGCCGCTCACGCATAATCACATTACGGCTACCCTATTTATCAATTTATCAAGTGAGGAACTCTGTGTTTTTTTCTTTGATTTCCCTCTCCCATAACGCTCTGTTGAGGACATTCGTGTTTGGTCTACGTTCATAGCGGCATTCGGCTATTTTACGGCTCTCAATCTCTACCTCACGTTTGGAGCAACATTCCTAAACAAGGTTACGTTCAGTCAAAAAAGCGTTTGTGAATGCCCCCTCAATGCTTTTTTTATCAATTCAGGTGGTTTCGCTGCCGATTGTTTCCACCGGTTTGCTTCTCGCCATTCCACCTGCTTCAAATACTGTCATAAGTTTCGTAACCTATGGGCTGTTCTCGAAACTTGCGTGAGTGAATTTTTCCGAGATTTGGTATCATATGTATATCAGGACGAAATCAAATTTTATCCCCTTTTAGGAACACTGAGATCAACAAAATGCGGTTTTTCAATTCACTTGGTACTGTACCATCGGGTGTACTATTCGCCATGATTGGCCTCTTCAATCCGGAACTTCAGCCGGCATCTGTGACGGTATTATATGCAGTACTACTCCTCATTACTTCGGATAGCAACCCATAAAGCTTTTTGGTCACATGGGTGGATGAATTCAGCCCTCTCACTGCGCTTTGCTCATTGGTGCGTTACGCCTGCCTATGACGCTAGGATAAGGTGGGGGCCCAATGGTGGACGTGACATCGCTCAGCGACCAGTGTGGAATAGTTTCGTTAAATATTCAATTTATCACTGCATGTTAGACTCACTGTAGTCGCACGTCCTACGTTGGGAAATCTCCAGCGGGAGGGTGGGAGGGGAAAAAATTTTTCTGACAGTTGACCTTTCTGTTCAACGTTATTCCGTTATCGTTGGGATATTCCAATCGGGGTAGGGGTATTGGATGGTGTATCCGCTCCCCGTCCTGAAAGAGGGGCAGAAATTCTTGGAAAATGCGGTCACTTGCGTCGTTAGAGATGCAATGCGGAGAGGAGGAAATGGATTGGTGGGAGTTGTAGCAAATGGCGAAATTTCGGGAGGGGCCCATTTGCCGGGAACTTTTCCGGCGGCCTTTTGACTCCGTTCAATAAAGGGTCCGCAAGTGATCACTCCAGTAACGATGTCTTCACCTTTATCAGGATGGAGATTTCATTCATGAAAATTCCAAGACCCGTCAAAATCCAACATGGTACAGGAAGCTCCGATTTCGATTTGCAATTAAACAGCTCATAAGGATTATGATTTTGGGTTGTTGCAATCAAATTCAAGTTATTCAGTTTTAACCATCTCTTAGGGTTTATTCTGTACATGGTGACGTTCTCATAATTCCAACTTGAAATAAAATATCCTAGGTATGTACCTGTAAGAGGGTACCAAACGGTGACGATAAGGGGCGTCAACAGAAGAGATAAAAAAAAATCCCAACGCCGCATTTATTGTGAACTGAGATTTAAGAGCCTCCATCGCGAGTGTAGCTCCAACTCCTCATACCTATATATCCTTCAAAAAACTACTCTGTTAAATAGGATTCCTGAGTTTCATGGTTTAGTAGCTTCCGTGTTTTCTTGTTGAATGAAACTCTTCAAGTTATCCATTTGGCAACGTTTCGGGCCTTAAGCCTACAATATATACAATATATCCACCGATTCACACTTACAAGGGAGGTCTTTCAGGTCATGGCGCGCTTTTAGAAATGGTTTGTTGCATGTTGTAGGGGTCCATATAAGGATCACAAAAATGGGTTTCGTTTTTGCTATGCATTTCTGGGAATGTCAAAAAATGAGTGAAAATTTGCTGAGGAAAAGCGATTTTGAACCATTTTTCTAGGCTCTTTTCTATTTCTAATGTCGAGTATGCATAGCAAATGAGACCTTCGTCGACACTGCATCGAAAACAATACAAGTCAAGGAAAAAAGTACTTTATTTGGCACACAGTGAGGCAGCATTGTAGTTTCTCAAGTGATTCTCGCAGCATCCCAACCCGCAGGGGGGAGGGGGGTATTCAGAGCCATGTTGGCGCCAAATGACCTAGGCGCCAATTATAAAGGTCAGAACCGTGATCAGGGCCGTTAATAACCTCTATATACAGACTTTCAGCGAAATTTTTCTCCTCGAGCTGTTCGAGCTATGATGGTTGGTCTTGTTGAACTGGTGGCTATCAGTATCCTGTACAAGTAGTTATCCAACTTCGATACCTGGACCTTTCTATTTACTAGTATATACCCTCATAACTAACAACTACAAATTTTAAAAAGGGACATATATGTATTGCACAATATCTACACCTGGAAAGTTAAAGTGGAACCAGTTACGCTGGGTGCGCTGATCGGGTGCCACTGCCAACCAAGTGGTCGGTCCATTATCACCAAAACCTCCGAAATTTTTTTTGCTGGAAGTTCGTATACAGGAGTAATTGGTAGCCCCGCTCACGATTCTGACACTTATTTTATGCGCCGAGGCCATTTGACGCCAGCATGGCGCTTAACAGCCCCTGCGTGCGGGTTGACAACGATTTCAGTGCAAGAATGCTCTTGCAGCAAATCGGCGATAGGTTGCGCCGTGGTCAAAAATGAGTGTCGTACTCGTGAGTAGGGCATCCAGTCATCCCCGTAGCCCAACTTTCAGCAAGAGTTTCCTCAGTAATGTTTCGAGAGCGCAAGTTACGTAGGGTGCATGAATCGTTGAAGTAACTTCGGTACTACTTCTCTCCATGCACTTTCTTTTTGACTTTATTTTGCTCTCTTTTCGATACATAGTGAAGGAACACCTCATAAACTATGCACTCTCAAATTTGCAGCTACAACAGAGCCCAATGAGCCGGTTAAAATCGAACTTTCTTGTCAAATTGTTTTCACTCATTTTTGGCATTCCCAT